AAATTTGTTTTAAAACAACGCCTGTAATACTTAACAGTTGCTCTAATTCGAGTAACAGGTACACTAGTATATAGATTATTGACCAAACTAATACAGTACTTTAATGTTCATCAGTCAAAACTATTACATTAAAAATATAAAAAGTATTAAAAAATCAAATTAGTCACACACTCGATACCATCACAATTTGTTTTGAAAGAAAAAAATACCCCGCCGCAGCATACCTGCCTCCTAATCGAATTTCCATTCATGCCTGAATTGATTTTCAATTAAATCTATTTAAATAACATTAGGTTTAACGAGTACAGACCGTTTCACCGTGCTTGGCGTGTAGGGAAGGCAGTGCGAGAGAGACAGGAAATCTCCCCCACCACGCTTCCCCTCCAGCCGTCAAGTACAGTCGCCTGCTCGCCTCCACTCCAATACGAATACAAACTCTACCAAAACTTTGTCTCCATGACAACCCGAAAAATACAAAAACGTAAACATAAAGCAAACTATTTGACAGCTGATGCTAGTTCACAACTTCAGCATTTGAACGTGACTGTACCGTACCGCGAGGCGTAGTGGGGGAAAGCTCTCAGTGCGCACTGTCATAGCTGGGCAAGCTCAATGCTACGTGCAGCTATTAAAGCCGCAACGTCATCTGCATACCCAACTATGACAGTTTCCTCAGGCATCTCGGATCTCAAGAGGCTGTCGTAGGCGACGTTCCAGAGGTACGGGCCCAGTATGGATCCTTGAGCAGCACCAGAAGTTACATCCATCGTCCTGGAGCCTTCTGTAGTGTCGTAAATGATGAGGCGGTACCGGAGGTAGTCCTCTATCATGCGCATGAGGTATGCCGGGACGTGGAAAGTGTTCTCCAGTGCATCCAGCATATCGCACCACCTCGCGGAATTAAATGCGTTTCGCACATCAAGTGTTACAAGCAGCACAACCCGACGAGAATAGTTGTTAAACTCCTCAGCTCTCATTACGGCTCGCTTTACCTCCTCAATAGCGTCAACCGTTGACCGTCCCTTCCTGAAACCGTACTGACGAGGGGATAGATTTCCTGCAGCAACCAAGGCTGAATTCGGTCGGGAACGGATCAACTTTTACAAGACTTTCCCAGCAGTGTCCAACATACAGAGAAGTCTGTAAGAGGAGGGTAGGTCTGGGTTTCCTTTTCCCTTCCCCACGAGCACAAGCCTAGCTGCTTTCCAGCAGAAGGGAAACTTCCCCTCGGCCAGACAGGCATTGTACGTGCTCAAAAGGATTTGTGGATTTATTAAAAAGACTTTCTTCAGGGCCTCACCAGGTACCCCATCCGGTCCAGGAGCCTTGTTGTTCTTCAGGGATAGAACGGCCGCCTCCAACTCCTCGAGACTGAACAGCGGTACGTCGTCCACCCTTCCGAACTCCCGCAATGGGCGCAGTGTGTGAGTCGGGAAAAGGGACTTTACTATCCTCTCCATAGAGGCCCCGTCCATAACGGAAGGTGGAGAGTGGGTGCCAAGCTTCTTGGTTACTATCTTGTAACCCAGGCCCCACGGATCGGAATCGACATCGTCCCTTAATTTCTCCCAGCAACTGGGTTTGCTCCGGTTAATGGCCCGGTGAAGAGACTTCCTAGCCACCTTGTAAGCGTCAGACTTAAGACGTCTATCTTCAGGTTCTCTGGCCCTGGTAGCAAGACGTCTGGCTCTCAATGCTGCCCGTCGCAGTTCTGCGATCTCGGTTGTCCACCAGTACACAGGTCGCTTATCGCACCGGGATCTCCTGCAAGGCATTGACTCTTCGCAGGCCGAGACTATCAGCCTCATCAATGATGTAACTGATGTCTCTGCGTGAGCCACGCCAGATGCAGCAGGTACCACTGGCTCTCCCCGTAGTATGACTTCGGAGAATTTGGCCACGTCCAGCTTTTTGGTGTTCCACCGAACGGGCACCTGCCGAGACACGGTAGCTTGTCTCTGATGACTATCCAGGACATCAAAAATGATGTACTGGTGGTCACTGGCCGTATAATCCTCTAGGACTCTTCAGGGTCGTATCCTCGGCAAGAGGGACTCAGATGCAAGCGTGATGTCTGGGATCGTTCCCCTCATTCCGGGACGCTGGAAAGTTGGCGTGTTGCCCTCGTTTATGACAACAAGTCCAGCCCTGGCAGCAAAGTCCAGGATGTACTTCCCCCGGGAATTAGTGAGAGTCATTCCCCACTCGACAGCCCTAGCATTGAAATCCCCCGCCACGACAACGTGCCTGGCGGTATCGCGCACGCTCTCTTCCAGGCGGTCTATCTTTCCACGAAAGTCACGGATAGCCTCGTTGGGGGTGAGTTATACACTAAAGTAAGTGACATCCCCGCACCGGACCCAAACGAATCCTCGGCCTCTCGCGTGACTCCTCACCTGCACTTTAGCTGTATTACGAACCCAGAACGCAGCAGTACCAAGTGTATCGGGAAACCAAAGAGATGGGTCCCTGTCCCGGTACTGGTACTGTTCGCTGACCAAGAGCGCGTCAACACCATGTTCAAGGGCAAGCTGACTGAGAAGCGCGTCAGCCGTCCTGGATCGATCTACATTGCACTGGAGGATCCTTATTTTCAAGGTTAGGCTTTCGCTTGTTGTAGTGCGCCTTTAAATGCACTGCACTGCCCAGACCCAGACAATATTCTCCTTAAGAATAACATAGAATTTAAAATTTAAAATTTTTTGAATTTTCTCCGTTACCAATAATTGTACAAAAATCCTTTTAGATACTAAATTATTCGGTTTTTAAGCTCTTTAAATAGGTCTAGAGAGAAATTGGGAAATTTTGTGTTTTGAGGGTCAAAAATGAGAAAACCCAATATTTAAGCCATAAAACCCCCAGTTAAACCCGTTCCCATGGTCCGATCATACTGGTTCGTGAGCTCATTCAATTTTATCCCGCCTTACACCTTTAAAACAAATTTCATCAAAATCTGACAAAAATTACTCATGTCACCCTATCGCATTCACTGACACATATATACATACAAATTTTAATGAATGGTGTTTTTGGCCTATGGGGACATCAAAATGAAAAAGTAAATCAGTCCCGGGCCTAGGTCTTACCATGCCACCTACGGTTATAGCTACTTCCCTATAGGGAAATTCGCTAAAATGATTTGCTATAAAATCATTTTTCAAAGTCAAATATAATTTTTACACTATCATCTGTGTAAAATATTCCTATATTTAACCTAGTATGTTTTATAATGTAGGTAGGTACATAGTTAATTTTTACCTTTTAAGACTTAAGTATCTAGTTGTAATAAATCTTTTTTCACAGAGAATGGTGTTAATAAGCAAAACTGGGCTCCTGTCTAGTGTCCAGAAGACAGTACCCAGGAAACCACCAGTAAGTAACTTAGGCATTGATATAAATAGACTTTTAATATCTTTGAGGTAAACACTCTAGTCATTTTGTTGATAAATTTAATTTACAAAATTCCATATCATTTAAGTACAGCAATACGCTACTATCGATTGCAAATATCGAACTTGGCCCAATTTAAATGTGAATTGTATTTTAACAGCTGTTCCTTTCAGTTGAATGTTTAACCACAGTCAGATTTTAAACAAGAGGCTAGACAGTTTATGAAAGTAAATGTATTTTTCCTACAGTCACCCGACAAAGTTGGCTTCCTTGAACTGTTTATAGTACAGAAAGCTTCTAATTGCTGCATATTTATACTTTGCCGTACGGTTTATACTTTGTCGTACGGTTTATACTTTGCCGCACATCAGGATTCCAACGAAACAACACAAAACAGCGTGGTTCTATTATGCACGTAATCCGTGTACGCTTGGAAATAGGTTGGCAACACTTAGAGATAATAATACTATGAGCAGCTGATTGACTATTTTAACTACGATTTAACCTGTCATTTCGTGTTTATAGTTTCGGTATTTCTGAACTTTCTGGACTTTTCTATTAAACGTTTTTAAAACATTCCTACGCTCCTAATAAACAAGAAAATACCTTTAAAGCATTTTTTTAGGCGGGGAAACCACTTCAAATTACAAAAACATACGGAACTATATTCTCAAAACGCGGAGCACATTTCTTGCCGAGGAAAAATAGCGGAGTGATACGGACCGTGGGTACTACTTTCTCTAGGGCACCATTTGTGTTGCCAGCTGAACCTAAAAACGTGTTGTATAGTATTTGAAAGACTAATTATTTATATGCTTTATAGTGACTGAAGGAAAAATATAATGTGTAACACGAGTGCAAAAGGCCTTTGCTGCACTCGAGATCAATCCGCACGAGCCGCTCTCGTGTGCGCAAAGTGCCACTTTGCCCACTAGTTACACAAATAACTATTTCATCACTCTGTATTCAAAAATAGCCCATTTCCAGCAAATAGTGATCAGCCGACTTTTCCTGACATAAACATTACTTTGGCTACACAAACAATACTTTGCCTGACATCAACAAAGTTACAATCAGCTGAATTTTACACTAAAATTAATAATTGTACAGCCGTATTGTGTTTAGATTAGAAAAATGAATATATTACGAAATATCAGATAATTTTTGTAAGTTTGATGAAGTTTTCTTTCCATCCTGAAAAAAGTATCGTTCAATACTCGTCACGAAAGTCCCGTTTTGGGGCGAGATAATGTTTTACATGCTCGTCTTTGACTCGCATGGGAAAACTATCTCGTCACTTTTGTTTGTTTTGTCACTTTTATTGTGGAAATTGGATCAATTGAAATTATTTATCGATTGCTTTATTAGGTTAGGTTTTAGCCTATGGTTGTCAATCGCTCTACACATATTGATGTTATAATGTATTGAATAACTTACTAAACAGCTGCTTATTTGCATTAGCAGAATTTAAAGCAGGCTGGAAGTCTTTTTGAGAGGTTGTCTTTACATACATATTATTTTGTTTTCTAGTTTAGTTTGTTAATTAATCATGCAATATGACAAAAGATATCGTTCATCACACGTTTAAATGTGTTAGGTTGAGTTTTGGTAGTTTTATACATTTCGAACTCTTCTAAAGCGTCCATAACTTTGCCTTTGTTGCAAAATGTAGAGGTATTAAATTTGTGTTAAAATCAGTGTAGTTATGGTTTTCATTTACAAGATGAAGATGAGCTGCAAAATTGGACTTGAGATGATTACTAGCTTTAAGCAAATGTTCTTTAAATCTCGTTTGAAATGTCCTGCCTGTTTGCCCTGGACAAAAGTCCACCGCCCGACCATCTCCCGTATCACAGTCATGACTTTAACCTACAACTGTGCGGTCGGACATTGCAAGTTTTTGTCGGTAGGCCTATCCGTAATTGTTTGTAAAACGTGTTTATTTATTATGTGTCCGTGTTATGTATTTAAACTCTTTGCAACCTTTTCGAAGTGATAGATGTGTTTCTTGTACAAGATCTGATGATGAGGACCTAAGCTCCCCGAAACGCGTATTCCGTAAGGACTAACAGGATCACTCTGGCAACTCAGGTAATTTTATACCTTTTATAGTTTATTCTGTGATCCAGAGACAAAAAAACTCAAAATATGAAATCTGCGAGTGGTCAGCTCAAAGTGCTACGTCCACTTCCCTGTTCAGAGGAGGCGGAAAATGGACAGGAAAGCTGTGGTTGGTTAACTGGTTGGATACGATGGCGAATAACAATATCGAATCTATGTTCCATAGAGAAGAGATATCGTAGTTTCTCGTGACGTCGTTTTTCAAGAAATTGTTGGAGACTGTGACAAGAAAGTTGAATGGCCCATCAAGATTGAGAAAACCAATGACGTCGAAGAAGATTGACAAGAAGTTGAAGATACTATTGACGAGCCTAGTTCTCCAGTGAAGGGTGATGATGAGCCTATACCAACTGAGGACACGTCAAGTAGCAGTGATAGTAAATGATTACGTCTCGTCTAACTTTGCCGAAGTTCTTCTTGTTGACGATGAACCTAAGTCTTACACTGAAGCCATCAGTTCAGAAGATAGTGCTGAATGGAAAACAGCAATGGACAAAGAAATGGAATCCATGCATAAACATGGTGCATGGGAATTGACCGAACTCCCTCCGGGAAAGAAGACTATCAACAAGAAGTGGGTCTACTGAATAAAGCGCAATCCTAATGGAAGTGTTGACAAATATCGAGCGAGATTAGTCATCAAAGGCTGTGCGCAAAGACCTGGTATTGATTACGCTGAAACCTTCAGCCCGGTTGCTCGTCTGGAGGTCGTTCGATCAATGCGCAATCCTGATGGAAGTGTTGACAAATATCGAGTGAGATTGGTCATCAAAGGATCTGCGCAAAGTCCTGGTATTGATTATATGCTGAAACCTTCAGCCCGGTTGCTCGTCTGGAGGTTGTTCGATCAATATTGTCCATTGCAGCTGTTGAGAAGATGGTTCTACGGCAGTTTGACGTCTCAACTGCGTTCTTGTACGGAGACGTTGAAGAAGAGATTTTTATGAAGCAGCCTGAAGATATTAAGATGGGACAAATTGTGTTTGTTGTCTCAAACGCAGCTTATACGGCCTGAAACAGGCACCTCGATGCTGGAATAAACGGTTTGACAACTTCATGAAAGGCTTAGGATTTCGACAGAGCCGTGAAGATCCCTGTGTCTACATTTGTCCTACCCCTCCTGGAAAATCATTGTTGCACTCTATGTTGTTGACGGATTAGTCGCAGCGACTAGTCAGACTGAAGTGGACTTATTTATTGGGCAACTTCGTTCACAATTTGAAATTGTTGCTAAAGAAGTGTCCGGAAAGTAAATAAAAGAAACGTCTTATAACACTTAAAACATATATTTACGCTTATACTGTTATTCACAAGACGGTAAATATACAAAAAAGATCTTTTTTGTATATTTACCGTCTTGTGAGTAACAGTATAAGCGTAAATATATGTTTTAAGTGTTATAAGACGTTTCTTTTATTTACTTTCCGTAAATTTAATAACACGTACAATGCTGATCAAGAAGTTATTTAAAGAAGTGTCATACTTTCTCGGACTCGAAATATCTCAAAGTGACGGTGATATATTGGTCTGCCAATCAGCGTATATCAAGAAGATCATTTCTCGATTCAACATGGAAGGATGCAAGCCAGTACTTACTCCCACAGAGAAAGAAGCTCACTGCTCAAACACCAGGGAAAGCATCTGATTTTCCATACCGATCGTTGGAGCCCTGCTTCATGTTGCTCGTTGTACTCGTTTTCACATTGCATTTAGTGTAAGTGTTCTATCACGTCACTTAGAAAATCCTACACAAGATGATGTCACACAAGAATACGCTATTTGGCCGGCACTGTGGACCAGAAGCTAGTGTACCAATCTAAACCTAAAACACGCCTACTGGAGTGTTATAGTGATGCAGACTTTGCTGGTTGTCCAACTAAAATCTTTTGGGGTCTCTTGATCTCTTGATGGTCTTTGGGGTTTGCCCTGCCTGTAGTGTACGACTGACATTATGTGAGGCATATCCTCGGCTCTGGAAGTAGCCTCTTCCTGGGAGGTGAAAAACGGGCAAGTATAGCCCCCGAAGGGGAGGTAACTGCACGGTGTTGGAATCGGCACTGCAAGTAGGCCATAGCTATGGACGACTGGACAAGCCAGCCCCTTAGGGGAGAGTACCCAGTGACATTCCTCCATCCAGGTTGGTGGAATGTTCAGCTCTGTGAGAGGTGGAAGTGCGCCATCAATCTCTCACCTGCCTGTGGCTATGGTTCTATGGGTTTTGGCCCGCTTGCTGTGTGCGATCTACATTCTGTGTGGCTAATCCTCGACTTTGGAAGTAGCCTTTCCTGGAGGTGAAATCGGGCAAGTACCCGTAAGCTCACGGGGACACTCTAGGGGAACGTAACTTTCCGCAGTGTGAGGGCAACGGTTGGGCGCACTCCATCAGCCAATCCCTGTCTCTGAGCCCGGAAGGTATGGTTATCTAGAGTGTGGGGGGTTCTCCCTGGAACCTCAATTGAGTTAAGGGTGTTAAGGGTGTGAGTTAAGTTGGCTTAGTCGTCGTCAGGAGTTAGTTGCAGACTCAACTTGTGAAGCTGAAATCATTGCAGCTAATCTTGGTTCAAAAGAAACAATCTGGATTTCTTGTTTGTTCAAAGAACTTATAGGTTTGTCTGCTGTTCCTATACTGAAAGTTGACAACGAATCAGCAAGAAAACTCTGTGAAAACCCCGAGTTTCACTTTCGTACGAAACATATTCAGCGGAAGCACATATTCATTCGAGACAGGATAAATATAGGTATGCTGACTGTAAAGCACATCGGTTCGGAATATCAACTAGCAGATATAGATACTAATGAAGCCTATACCTCGACCAAGACTTCAAGTTCTGCGAGAAAATCTTGGACTCTCGGCATGACTTTGCAAATAAGGGAAAGTGTTGAAAATGCCTGCCTTTTTTATTTATTTGTAATAGTCATACAGATGATGTGAATGTTGTTTTTACTATCAGCTGTCTGTTTTTGTTTGTAAAAATTTGTTCATTATAGATTGACTAGTGAACCTGTGCGGCTCAATGCCCCGCAAAATAACATATGAATTTAGAAAACAAATTCGAAAACAAAACAAATATTTTTTTTATTATTTTTAATGATATATATATTTATATATTTTAATAAATATATATATATATATATATATGAATTTGAACGGATGGTGTTTTTGACCTCTGGGGACCTCACAACGAAAAAGTAAATCGGTCCCGGGTCCAGGTCTTACCATGAGACCTACGGTAATAACTATGATAGTGGTTTAAATACCTTATTCATGCAATCCAATTGTTGTCTCCACAACTAGTTTCAACCTGCTAGGAGGTCATCATCAGGTGAGTACAAGGATGAATTACTTCATATGAAGGTCGTCAGTAACAGTTTTTTTACATTTACACAAACACACGACGAATAATAAACACATAGTGCGCACACATACACGGCCGATAAAAACATTGAACTCGACAAGCGGACCCGTGTTGAGAATGCGGAAGTTGCGTCTAGACTGTAGGGTAAACAGCTGGTCAAGCATCACGCGCATTTTCTTATCACTCGTCGGTTCCATTCCCATTGTCTCTGTCCTCCCCTTCCCTCTCCAGTATTTCTATTGCAGTGTTGTATATGATGTTTGAATTAAAATAAAGTTGGTCGTTTAAAACGTTATCCATGTCTGATTTGACGGCTCTATAAATCTCGAATTCTTCCAGGGTGTTAATTTTAAACTTGTCCTGTGACGTATGTAAAATTTCCATGTTTTCATTAATGCTGCTGTAATTATGCTGATGAGAAACTAAATGTTCGGCAAAGGTTGAAGTTTGTTTTGAGGTAGTTTTCTTTGGTATGTGCTCCTTAAAGCGTTTGGAGAAAGAGCGGGAAGTTTGGCCTATGTAATATTTATTACAATCTGAACAGTTGATTTTGTAAACACCACTTTTTTCATATTTAAGTTTAGTTGTACTTGGTCTTTCTTTCAGAAGTGGTCCCAGATTGTTTTTTGTTCTAAAGGATACTGTTATGTTATTTTTCCCCATTAATGTTTTGAATTTATTACTAAGACATGAATTATAGTCAGCTGATAAGAACTTTTTATTTTGGTTCACTCTTTCTGTTTTGTTTTGGTGTTTCAAAATTAATTTATCTATTAACGGGGTCGTGTATCCATTGGAGACGGCGATGTGTTTTATGATGTTTATCTCCTCGTTGTAATCATCATAAAACACATCGCCGTCTCCAATGGTCCCGTCCCCTTTGTACGGGGTTGGTATATAAGTATAAAATGCTTATTGCAGTTATACTCAAGCTTTGAGTTTGCAATGGGGGAGAACACAGTTAGATAAAATTTGCTTCTTTAAATTTACAGTTTACTATAGTATTACACACCATAGCCATAATGTTCTACCAATTTACCTAAACAATAGGGGAAGAAATTATCAAAAATTCGCAAAAAATCACAAATTATTCATAAAATTAAAAACATAAACACAACTGTAAATAATCCTACTTTGACAGTTCTCATTGTGTATCACAGTTTTGTGTTGCTGCTTAGTTCAAATTAGCTGTTTTCATAAATGCAAATAAATAATAGTGCTGCACCCTGTTGGTAAGTGTTATAACTTTTTAATGCTTTCATATCATAGAACCAACTTTTTTGGTTGAAACAGCTGACAAAATTTTTTAATTCCCTTTAAATATGAATGCTACACAACAGCAATGGCAATGGCAATGGCAGGTTAACATGGGGAACTGCAGAGCCACTGGGGCGGAGGCCGAAAGGATTTTTGAGATAAGAATATGCCTATATGTTAATCGGGAATGTAAGCTATCGTCATGCCAAATTTCAGCCCAATCCGTCCAGTAGTTAATGTGTGATTGAACTTCAAACAAACAAACAAACAAACAAACACACAAACTTTCACATTTATAATATTAGTAAGATGTCAAAGATTTGTGATTTTAAATACATAAATTATTATATAATAGTA